CTTCACAACATTTTGCTGAAATGGGGCCAGGATTGCACCACAGAGCATCTCTGGAATCAAAAATTTCCCGGGGCCCTTCACTGGGCCCACGCCCCGAACCTCACGCCGTAAGACACTGCTCCGCGTTTGCATTAGTCCTTGGTCCCAGCCCATCGCCCGTTGCAACAGTTTACAATCTGAGTCAATACAATTCCTTTTTGTTTTTAAATACAATGCAAGAAATTATGAAGACGAAAATACATGGTTTGCACATTTGAAGTACACAGTAGCTTAACATTTGTATAAAAAACAAGAGTATATTTTTTTTGAATCCTTATAAGCTTAACTTTTGCTCAAATAATTCAGGGGGAAAGGGGCCAGAATTCGCCTCAGATTGCACCACAGAGCATCTAGAATCCAGAATTTCCCGGGGCCCTTAAGCGGGCCCCGGACCCCACGCCGTTAGGGCTTCGCGCTCCGCGCTCCGCGCTCGCATTATTACTCAGAGCAAAATGCTCTAAAAGTGTGCCCCCCGTCTAAAGAAAACCTGGATCCGCGCCTGACTGTAGTACGTGACGTATCCTAGCTTTCTTGATCCCCAACAATAAATGCTTCTGGATCCATCAGTGATTTAGCTGTCTAATCATTTTTTTTATTGCATGAAGTAAATTTGTGATTGATGGGTTGATATAAAATGTATTTTCTAAGGAATTTCTTTTGATATCCTCATTATGAAGCCTGCATGCCTGATTACAAAACCCAAGTGGTGACCCAGCTGTAGAATTCAGAGGCGGGAGATTGGTCCATCACTGAGGGACGAATGGAGGCATAACACAACAATCATCTAACCTCAAAGATTTCTCCTTGATTGACTTAAGTCATTGCATGGAATGATTTATTACACGATAATAATCATACAAAGTACACAATGTCAAAAATAATCCCTGACGTCTTAAACTTTTCCCCAAATTTCTGGTACAAAGGAAAAGAAGAGATCAGAAATGTTTCGGCACCAATAACAAATAATACAAATAACATACACATTTCAACAAAAAATTCTTTCACAGTTAACCATATCAAAGCCAAATCAATTTACTTCCGCCAAACGGTGCAAATATCAGATTTTTAATTTTTATTTACAATTTAAACAAGGAAATTGACTGTAGCAGGATTACCATTCCAGATCACCGTATCGGAACAGGAATCCAGAGGTCACCAGGTCAAACCAGCTCCAGTCAATGTCTTTGTTCAACTTTCAAGTTACACATGTATTATAATGCACCGAGACAGTTCTCCTTTGTGGTTTATTTTTATCACAACATGTAACTTAAGTTGCACGAAAAGATCCAGGTCAACTTTCAATGTCTATTTGATAATAACGAAATAACGTTTGGGAAAAACAAAAGCACAGTATTAAACTGAGGACATTTCAATAACCAGTTTTTCTGTGTAACGGGAGCACAGTCACTGGTTGGAGAAGTGTCAGGAACTATGACAATGTTCTATATAAAGAGTGAAAGTTTTATTTCGCTCAATTTCAGCAAACGTGAAACGGAATCCAAACTATCAGCAGATTATCTTGACTTGGAGACTTGACCAAGTGAGCTTTTTGATTACAATTCGGTAAGTTACTTTTGGGATAAATGCAAATGATCCCATCCCATATCCCTTGAAATGTGTCAATCAATGAGTACAAAATCCCCATCATTTAAAATTGCAATCAGTTCGGCTTTGCAGTTACAGCGTGTAAATCCCATTTTAATCGAAATCTTCTTTCATGTGTCATGCCAGCAACAACAGTTAAACATTATTTACATTCAGTTTACATTTCCAATGTGAATAAATCAAAACATTGATTCGAAGTATACTTTTTCTCACCTGCAGAACTGCTTTTACCAAATTGAATGGTTGCATTTGGGCATGTTATAAACGACTGTTATCACCTGGGCAACTACAAAATATCAAAACTGTTAGAAACAAAAATGTCAGTTTTTGTACAGAATATTGATCATACTTGGAACAAACAAATCTAGTGTCAATCAATACTTTGAAGAGGCTTGCATTGATAAAAACAAGCAAATTGTCCACTTGCACCTATTTCAACATAATCAGAAACACAGAAACATTTGCGCGTATACAACAATTGCAACGATTGGTCCTGAATGAGCAAACATGACTGTCCTCTGACAAAAATGCATCATTTGGCAATAAATGCAATATTCTACATGTATATATTATACATGAATTGTTTGACAGTATGAACACTGGTTTAGTAACTCTCAATATGGACATAGGCCTATAGTTGAATAGTAAACAAAATCCATGTTATACTGTCCATACACAACTGCACCACTTTAAAAGGTATATTACATAAACAGTCAAGGTTAAAGATCTATACAAAAAGGTAGCAAACTGGAATCATAATTTTTGCCATTTTTGCATAAATTATGTTAATTCACAGATATGATTTGATAAAGAATAAAGCACAAACACTCAAAAGAAACGTCTTTTTGGAGGCACGTGAACTTGTGAGGATTTTTCTAATATGTACAAAGCTGAGGCAAATGCTATTCCAGCAAATATGCGTCTCATTTTGGGGTATAAATGTTTATGTAGTGCTTCTATAAACGCAAAACAATTCAAAAGTACCCGAGGTTTGGAGTATTGTTCTGTAAATTACTAAGTTTTGCACAGCACTGGTCTATGGAAGGGTGTCGTGCAGCCATTTGCATGTGGTCACATTAGTTTGTTGGAATGCCATATTACTACATTGATCGGATAACAGGGTAGGAGGAGGCCTTTGTCACAACAGTTGAAGACATCTCACACAATTTTTACCTAAGATGATGCGATACAAGATATTTCCTCAAAAGTAGATATGGAAAGGAGAGGTGGATTCTCCCGTTTAATTGGCGATTAGTTTCTAGTGTTATAATCTTGTATATTGGTGCCCTGAAAGAGGGGATATTGGCAAGAAACAGTACTCAGAGGTCACCCAAGATACAGATAGGATGTGTGGATGTGACGCCATGTGATGTGTACAACAGTTAGAAACAACTGCTTTGAGTAGATTGTTGTGCTTTGGTACTATCAGAATGAATCAATGCAAATATATGACGTGAATCATACGATAGTCTCGATGAACTCAAAACTGGAATCAAAGTGTAGCCATAGGCGTGGCCGGGGGGGGGGGGGAGGCGGAAGGGGAGGGGGGCCTATGGCCCCCCTGCTGTTAAAAAAACCCCAAAAAACATGTTATCCAAGAATTGTAAAGACATTTTACAAAAAATAAAAGCAAGATGTAAAGAAGAAGAAAGACCAAAAAAAGAGAAGAAAGTGGAGGGAGAGACACAATTAATATGACAGTTCACGTCATGACCGTAGCCTGCTAGGATTAGTTGCACACAAGACTACAATTATTATTGGGAGATTATTATTGGGGCATCTGTCATACTTTTAGTTTTACTAAAATTAAAAAGCAACTGGATCAAGAACTGCGACAAGACAGCGTGCGGCGCGAAACCTATGTTCTTAAATATGTTGAGAATGCACCCAGACCTCTCTATAGCATGCAGGACACACGGCGGACAAGCCTTCGGCATGGGCGTCAATCGGGGGGGGGGGGGACATATCCCTAAACATTGGACATTTTTTAAAGTGGGGGTAGCATATCGTTTGTCCCACCCACTTTTTTCGTCCCCGAATAAATCTTTTAGCCTAGCTACTACAGTTTGGTTTTAGAGTTCTAATGATAGCTGATTCAATGACTCAAAACTCGATGTTTAAATGATGATCTTTTGCTCAAAAAAATTTGTTAAAGTGGTCAGATTTTGCCTGAGATCGCACCACAGAATCCAAAATTTTCCTGATTCAAGTTTTGACTGATAACTTGAAGGACGAACTCAGCATCGAGGCCGATTCTATGAAGTGTTGTCACACTTAACTTAGTGTAGGGATGCCCCACATACTCTAATTATTGTTTGTGTAGTAATATGTGCATTTTATAATTATCCATTATCAATGTTATTGCTAATTTAATGTTACGTTGTTATCTTTATCCGTGATTTTACAAAATGTTTACAAAATGTATTCACTTGACTTTACCGCCGTTTCTGCTGAAGTGACCAATCACAACACCTCCCTGGAGGTCACACACAACAAACGAACTTCAGCTGATTTTAATTTTGTGAATGTAGTTTGTGGTATTACTAAAGTAGGGCACGTCGTCTAAGGTTTCATATTGTTAAAATACCTTTTATTTTCTACCTTCGCTATGTTAAAATTCCAGTTGTCAAAGACCAAGGCTCTGATTAATTACTTAAATTTTTCACTGGAAATGAACTGTACGTTTTATTTGATACCCCTCAGACCACGCAGGCTGCACGATAGTGCCTGCCCAATTTTTACAGGTGGCCTTCGGGCCCAGCAGTCGGCAATAAAGTCATGTGAACACAGAGAAGTTGTCTGGCTTTGTTTCTTGTTGCCCTCACCGCCTTGCTTGGACCTACACATCTGAAAGGGCGACCCCCCACGACAGCAGCAGTCCCTCTGACTTTGTCAGACCCCTGCTTCGTCTTAGACCCCCCCTTTCATCAGCCGATGGCAACAACCCCATACTAGGGAGATGTTGGAGATGCTTGGTGAGAGCGCTCACTGCATTCGAACTGAATGCATTGTTATCAAGAACGAGTATGCGTAACTGTAAATCATGTCCAGCAGGGAGGATCTTCTTCAGGTCCTCCACGTCATCATCGACCAACCCGCATCCAGATAGGTTCAAGCTAACCAGGGATGACGGGATGTGCCTAACATTTCGCAACCGTGCATGCAGGTCAGTGTCCAACAGTGTGAGCGAACTCAACCTGCATCCTTCCAGTGCATTCAATAGACCAACAGCCTCACCTGGTGATCGTTGGGACATACACAAACCAAGCTTGCCTGTTTGTTCGCGTATGCGGGAAAAGCTGTGTGAGACAGTCTCCAGGTCCATCCATGACTCCCGCACGATGTTAATGGTGACATCTAATTGAGCACGGTGCTGTTCATCCACCACACCAAGTGTTTGCTCAAGGAGGCTAAGCTCCTTCCCCCCCTGCTGCTGCTCAGACAAGTGGTAGTTAACAACTACCTGATAAGCTGACTCTATGCTGTCACTCAGAAGAATTCCCTTGAGAAAGGTAAGCTCCTGCTGTCTTACGTCCATGTAAAAATATGTACGTTTAAGTGGCGGAGTGACATGTTGTAAGTAGTAGTTCAGTGATTTCAGGTCTTCGTAACTGTTGCAGTGTACAGCAGTTGGTCTGACAAGTTTGGCAGCCAACTCTCCTGAACGAGACTCCAACAACAACCACCTAGCCAATATCTGCGGTTTCTTCTCGAAATCTAGCCTCTCTGATTGCACATTTTTTATGTGATCCAATATGAGACCAGCAGCCTGTCCTGATCTACCGCAACAAAATCTCAGCAGATATCCCATCGCATGAACATTGTGTTCTCCAATCTGCTTCAACTGATCACGGAATTTGTTTTTGTCATCTTCGAGCAATTTCACCAGGTGACATGCTGCAAAGTATTCTTGGATGGTCTTGTGGGGAAAAGTGACCAACACCTTTACATCCAGACCACACGTGAACGTTTCACGTTGAACGAAACCCACACGACAACCCTCAGCTAAGGAAGACTGACAATTCTGAAATTCAGTTTGATCAAACATGAGTCTTTCCCCTCTGGTGTCTAGTAACCCTTGCAATGCAACACGCCCCAAGTCATCAATGATGGACATCATGGTGGACATCACCTGTTCATCACTCATATATTCATTGTGGCGCTTGAAAAGAACCACTGCAAACTTTGCAAACAGCTCAGTCATTCTCTCAGGCAATGACTTTTGATTCTTCCAAACAAGGCACAACATCTGGGAAACGATTGGAACTTTGGACATTTCCCATAGCTGTTGATTGAATTTCAGATATGAAACCAATGCCTCTCCCATGTCGTCATCATCATCAGGAAAGTTTAATCTGATGTACTGATCTCTGTCTTGTGGATTGAAGCCACATGTCTCCACCTGGGCAAATTTTGGGTTACACCTGAGTACTGATTCGACCATGTGTGGTCGGGTTGTGACCAGCACAAAACTTTTAGTAAGGACTCTGTTGTGTAAGATATCCTGAACCCTGTACACGCCCTCCTTAGATTGCAAAACATGAGACGGAATTTCATCCACTCCGTCCAACAGAAAAGCAGTGCGTGATTCATGATCAGCAATGAACCTTTTCACTATGGGTTTTGTCAGTTTGGTGTCTTGAGCTAGAATTTGGTCAAATATGGCATCCAAAACACAACTAGATTGCTGCATTTGCCTCAGCTTTATCCAAAGCACAAGATCGAATCTACCAAGAAGGGCTTTTGATCTAAGTGTGATGGAGAAGTTTGCAACCTTCACTAACAGGGTTGATTTACCCATCCCGGCCCCACCAAAAAGAAGAATCTTGATTTCCTTAACTTTTTCCTGATTGAACAAATCATCCAAGGAATTGAGAATGTCATATAGTGCTTCGTCCAAGATTAAATTTCCTTCTGGTAATCTCACCGACCTCCCTGATTTTGTTTTGCCTGGAATGTTCTTTATAAGACGTAGAGGAACAAAGAATTCCTCAATACCGACTTGACGTGTTTGCAGTGTAGGGTGTGCAGGAATAGTCGTTGCAGTTTGCTTGTAGTTGTCAATAATTTCCTGTTGCAAATCCTCAAAGGTAACCGGCCCCTGGAGTCCGGTGATTTCTAAAGGAAATCATACAATTATAATGAGTAATTTTGAGGACAGATAAACACGATTCATCAGCTAAATTCAACAACGTGAACAATCTGCTGGTTGATTTTCCAAGTCCTCGCACCACCTATTGTTTTTTCTGCATTCAGGTTATTTATTTTACCTTTATCCACATAAGCATTTAATTAGTTTTAGTTTCCCTTTAATTGCAGTAAAATGTACACTTGCAAATTTTGGCAAGTACTGAAATTTACGTATCTCTATATATATTTTTTTAAATGAGGCGCCCGACGATAACAATATTGATAAACCAAATAGTTATCTGAGGTTGATGTTATAGCCGTCCCTGAGAGTCTTCAATATACACAACTTTAATGAAGTCAACGAGAAAATTTTGATCACACCATAAACTGGTCACACCATAAACTGATCACACCATAAACTGCATCATGAAAGGACAAACTGTAGTTGGCAGTAAATTCCAACAAAAAGGGCGAAACTTTTGGACAATACTATGTGCTGTTTTTATTCCGTTATTGTCAGGAGAAATTTCTCTGTCAAACACCCACTGAACCAAACACTTGTTCATTCGTGGACGTATTGGTGGCTGCACGAGGACATGAGACCTGACCTTTCTTACCCCATCCCCTTGGCATGCTGGCAGTTTTTATAATGTCAGTGTCCCTAACCAAAATGGAAGATTTCTATTGTTTTATCAAAAGTGACCTTGACCTTTGACCTGTCGGCCCGAAAAGCAATAGGCTTGCTAAGACTATCCAGAAAAATCCAGAAACCAAATTTCAAGTTCCTAAGTAAAGTATTTCTCAAGTTATCGCGTTGACAAGATTTCTATTGTTTTAGCAAAAGTGACCTTGACCTTTGATCCGTCAGTCCCAAAAGCAATAGACTTCTGAAGACTACCAAAAACAACCCACACACCAAATTTCAAGTTCCTAAGTAAAGTGTTTCTCAAGTTAACATGTTGACAGGATTTCTTGTTTTAACAATATAGTGACCTTGACCTTTGACCTGTCGGCCCGAAAAGCAATAGGCTTGCTAAGACTATCCAGAAAAATCCAGAAACCAAATTTCAAGTTCCTAAGTAAAGTATTTCTATTGTGTAAATCAAGGATTTTCTTTTGTTCCTCTTCCCTTTTCCTTTGTTTGTACACTTACTTTTTCGCAACAGGTTTTGTACACGTTTTCCAACCGAGGAGTCCTTGATTCGGTTTCTGTCCTCGATTCATCGATGATGTTGCACTTGTGTGTCCTCGATTTACACCATAAACAAACGCGCACACACAAACGCGTTCACACCATCAATCGTGGACGTCCTATTGTCCCTCTTTTGTTTGTACTTTGACTTAGGAAGACTCCCATATGTTTTGTACATGACCCCAATCGCAGACGTATGCTAGGAATTGTAGGTGATATTGTTCTCTGGTATTTTTCGTCCACAGTTTGAATGCTGAACACACCCAGACATTTATATACTTAAGGAGTTGTGAGCCTTAAACAAGCAGCTATTCATGTTATACCCCACCCCTAGCTATTTTAACGGCTAGAAAAAAGGGTTTAATCCATCATTCAATCATACCTACCAAGGCTACAAATGTCATGAAAATAACAATTGATGTGGTTCATTCTGATACCTACCTATCAGGTCTTCAGCTATGTCCCTTCTGCCGATCTCTATCAGAGCTGTGCATAACACGTTCCTCTGATCCGGGCTCGTGGATTGTTGGCGCCTCCATTTGACCAGCATGTTGAAGATCAGGTTCTCTGTCTGGCCTGGGTCATCCATCATGATGTGCTTGATCTCTGCAGCGCTTAAACCGAGATGTGTAGCCAGCTGCCGCCATTCAGAGCCAAGCCTCTTAGAGATCTTGCCTAGATCAACGTCACTGATACCTGCAAACAGACACAAATCAATTAATACGGTAAACAACATTTCTGTACAAAATCTTCATGAGGTTTATTACTTAGTTCAACAGAAGCTCTTGTTTATTGTAAACAAATCTTACGCTTTAATATGTTCAGCACGGCAACTTTGGACACTTATGCAATTGTCCCATTCAATACCGACAGCTCTCCTCTTCTATGCCTTGCCAGTCAAATGAATAAACGTATACGCAAACGCGAGGGGAGTTCTCGGAATTGAACGGGAAATTTTTTTTTAATAGCATTCTTTTTTTTTTAAATAGCAACCTATTTTACCTCTATTTTACCTCAATTTTTTAAGAAGATATTTTTTTACTATTCTATTTTTTCGCTATTTTGGGGGGTGGTGAAATACAATGGAAAAAAATAGATTTAAAAAAAATGTATTTTCAATAGGAAATAAATATATTTTTTTCTGTATTTTATTTCGACCTGTGGTCCCCCTTGTTTCAGGTACTCTGCTATGCTATATATTGTGCCTAATAGCGTCAATGCAAAGGATGGAGGGGAAGGATGCTGTCAGGGAACCGATATCAGGGCCAGGGGAGTCATAACATGCAGGGTTTACAGACAAATGTTTGTGTCTCACCCGGTCTTGGCTGTAGTTGCGGTGGTGGTTGTTGTGTTGGTTCCTGCTGGGAAAGCTGTCTGCTGCCGGACTGAGTCATTTGTTGATCATCCCTCACTCCATCAGCCGGTAGTTGTTGGGTTGGAGCTGTGCTTGGACCAGGGTTAGTTTGTGTCTCACCCGGACTTGGCTGTAGTTGCAGCGGTGGTTGTGGCATTGGTTTCTGCCGGAAAGGCTGTTCATTACTCGACTGAGTTTTTTGTTGATCATCTGGTAGTTGTTGGGTCAGAGCTGCCTGACTGTCTGTTACTGTGGTTACGGTAAGAGCAACCCACAAACCAAATTTGAAGTTCCTGAGTAAAATATTTCTCAAGCGTTCATGCTGACAATACATGTATTTCTATTGTTTTAGCAATATTAGTGACCTTGACCTTTGACCTGTCGGCCCCAAAAGCAACAGGCCTCTTAAGACTCATCAAGATTGACGGACAACCCACAAACCAAATTTCAAGCTCCTAAATAATTATTCTCAAGTTATTGCATTGACAAGATTTCTATTGTTTTAGCAATAGTGACCTTGACCTTTGACCTGTCGGCCCCAAAAGCAATAGACTTCTTTAGATTACCAAGAACAACCCACAAACCAAATTTCAAGTTCATAAGTCAAATATTTCTCAAGTTAACACGTTGTCAAGATTTCTTTTGTTTTAGCAATAGTGACCTTGACCTTTGATGTGTCAACCCCAAAATTAATAGGCTTGTTAAGACTATCCAGAACAATCCACAAACCAAAATTCAAGTTCCTAAGTAAAGTATTTCTCACGTTCTCTTGCTGACAAGAGTTAACCTATCCAAAACATAACACACACACACACGCACTAGCACATTTGTTTATGGTGTAAATCATGGATTTTAATTCTTTTGTTCCTCTTCCCCTTTCCTTTGTTCATACCTTAACTTTTTCACAACAGCTCTCATTAGTTTGTACACATTTTTCAGCCGAGGAGTCCACGATTCGGTTTCTGTCCTCGATTCATTGCTTATGTTGCATGTGTCATTGACTTACACCATAAACAAAATAATGCAGAAAAGACAGACCAGCAGCCGATTTCACAAATCTTACGTAATGGCGCAACTCTGCTTGAGCCAAAATTTATTGCGTAAGTAGTTGCGCAACATATCACTTATGACACATTTCACTTTTATGACACATTTCTCAGAGTCAGATAGTGCGTAAGTCCGCAGGTTGCGCAACAAATTATGACGTAACTTGCACCATCATTTTAGGCGGCCTAAGTTGTGGCGTAGCGACTGCTCTTACCAGCAAATCAGGACTGTCATAGAGCTCATTGCACAACTTAATTACTTTAAAGAACCGTCATTTTTCAAGTACAAACAGTCGGTATCTCCAATCTTACAATGCGAAAACGATGTTAACGAAGAATCCTGTCACACAACGCGGCTCATATGAACTCGCAACTCTGGACGCCCTCTACCGATTTCTTTTGTTTGAGCTATAAAATAAACAGCATGAGTTTGTCCAAAGCTGATGTAAAAATGAAGTTGATTGGCCAATGTTAAAGCCCGTCCATTTCAGCCTAAAGTTTTTGCGCTAATCAGAAGCGTTGTTTGAAACTGCATTGGAACGTGTACGATCAACAGATGATAATCGACCTACTCCGATCGCTGTGCTGCCAACTTGCTGTTTCTCTCCGGTAAGTTCTCCCCTTTACAATTCCTCAGGGACTCTAAAAACTATATGATACTAAAGCTTACAGTATTAAAGATTCTCTGCATCTAAAAAAATATGAAGATACTTTATCAGAAGACATTGTAGATGTAGAAGCCCGCAAAATTGTCTGCAGCACAAAACACTAATAAAGTACAAAAACGTCCATCAAAATGCAGACATTTCACACAGAACCGCAGCACAGTTTGCCCCTATACTCCGTACTTTACCTCTTGACATACTCACGTATCTTGGGCACAACTAACATAGGTGGATTCTGTCGGTTTTTAGGCCAAAATGATGAAAAATATGCCCTTTCCGCACTGAGCCAACCGAACACTTGAAACGTGCACGCATATGATCGAGCGATGATTTTCGGTTCGCTCGGAGCGCGCCGCGGGGGGTACGGTACAGGCGAAATGATAGTATGTGCATGCGTACAAGTGCATGTACCGTTCCCCCCGCGGCGCGCTCCGAGCATTTTGATGGACGTTTTTGTACTTTTTTAGTGTTTTGTGCTGCAGACAATTTTGCGGGCTTCTACATCTATGAGGCTCCGCTCACGCGGAGCCTCATAGTTCTAGGAGTACTTGGTGAGCCCATCAAAGCCGTGGCGGAGAAGACGTGGCCAACAGCAAAAGCTGTGGTGATTTGAGACAATAGACCGCCCAATCAGAGGAAGTCTGAGCTGCCATATCTTTAGCCACATTTATCTCATTGCCAGAGCTTACTTTTGCCACCAAATTCGAACTACATGTATTTTGTGTTAAAAATCATGTATATGAATGTACATGTACGTATGTTAGTTGTTCCTGATAGCCAGTGTAATTGTATTGTGTATTTTGATGTTTTATATTGTGTGTTATAATTGTCTTTTATCCATACGCCTTGTTTGACGTGTGTGAAATAAAATAAAACAGGAATACATGTAGATCAATTGTGTTTTTTTTAGTAATAAATGAAGTCACCCCATCAGTACTTGTGTCGCCAATTGTTTATGTTCAACAACCACTTCCTCTTATGCAGCCTACTCCCCCACCCCTGCTTGAAAGTGGGATATTCCATCAGCTCATTGCCCTTCTTCATGGATGAACGAACACCTCACAGACCTTGTATGAGATAAGGGCACACACGTAACTCTATGGGCAGATGCACAGCACTTGTTGAAGCTTCTTAAGTGTCGAAATTGACTTTGAGGAATTCATATGTCAACTTTTTTTCCCGAGAAAATTTCGCGATAAAGTATTCAAAATGTGACCTTTTTGCTAAGGAGTTAATGTCAAAAACCTGAAATAAAGCATGTTTATTGTTGTGTAATAAACACTTCAATTTTGAATCATTGATTTCTCTGTTTGCTTTCTCTGCTTTCTTGTTTCAAATCTGCCGGTGTTCTAAGTCCCATAACTTCTGAACGGAAGGTCCTATTCACATGGGGTTTTCACCAAATATAAACTGAAATACAGCACTATTCAAAAATGTAAAAAAACAAAAAACACAACATTCGATAAGGGCCGACAAATGACTCATTTAGTATGATCGCATCACATGTTTGTACATTTGGCCTGAAGACTGCTGACCCACCTGCCACCATTTTCTCGTGTTTCTTGTCAATCTTGAGGATTTCTTTGTAAGTCGTAACAGCCGCCTCATAATCCTTCAGTCCCTGCTGGGCCTTGCCAAGGTGCACTAATGCCTTGACGTTGTTTGGTTCCAACTGCAAGGCAGTCCGGCAGTCCTCCATTGCCTCTGAAAACTTTTCCAATTTGTTGTAAGCCTTGGGGGGGGGGGGGAATAAGTGAAAAGAGTGGATTCAAATTTGCCACAGTAGCGTTGTGTGTCTCAACAGGATAACAGGTGTGTTGCCTGGGATTAATCGTCTGCCTTATGCGCAGTACTACCAAAACATACAAGTAAGATGAGTTGGCCTTGACTTGATTACCTGTGCCCTGTTGGTGTACAGCAGCACAAAGTCTTTTAGACGTTCCAGGCCCTGCGTGTAGAGCTCAACAGCTCGTGTGTAATCGCTCTTCTGGAACGCTTGGTTCCCCTGATCCTTCAGAACCGTCGCCTCTGCTTTACGCATCTTGCGATTCTCTGCGCGTTCATTGGCGTCTGCTTCCAGGGCTCTCATGACATTATCTGAAAATAAAGTTGATCGCACGTTACATAAAAGAATAGAGTTGACAACAGTCATCCCCCGTTAACCCTAAGGCCAAAAAAAGGTTTCCGGTTTCTGGTATGGAGCTTGCCGCAAAAGTTGTGTGGCGACGAATTTTTTTTTTATTTACCCCACTTTTTTTCTTCTTCAAATGTCGGCTGATTTGTTGCAGATGCCACTTCGATCCCCTTCAAACTCTCAAATTATCCTTTAGAGTCAAGACAAAAATCAGGGAAAACGGTAATGTCAGACCATACAGCTACATGGACATCGTGCATGAGCTGCCAGGCTGCATGGTCATTAGTCTGCTCCCTTACATATTATTCCATTTTATTACCATTTAAACACAATGACCCTAAAATAACCTCTTTCGTCCAAAAATGCGATTTGAAGAATCGTCGTCACAATTGTCTTCGAACATCACCAGCAATAAAACCTAAAAGTTTTAAAAGTTACAAATATTCAACAAAGTACTTTTGAAGGTCGGTCTTTTAAAAAAAGTGGATTTAATAAATCATATTATTAGCCTAACCAGGGTTGCTAAATAAAGTCATGTCAAATATAATTCTGTCATCTTCTGTGTTGTTCCAAACTGTCGGAAACTGCTGTTTTTGGATGAAACAGGTTTTAGGGTCGTTGCGTTTAATGGTGATAGTGTTTAAACTGTTGAGCAATTTCAGTAATTTTTTCAACTATAAGTAACTAATGAAATTGGCTTTCCGGTCATTGGTGCTACGTACATATTTGTTTTTAATATGAAATATATTTTGGGGGTTTGGGTTCTGCTTTTTTTATGCACCCTGTAGTAATGATCCATGGCTACTATTATACCCTAAAGTTGTGCGCATTTAGTTTTCCCAGGGGCAGATCAAGGAAATTTCGCAGGTTTTTTTTCATCAGCAACAAAATCTGAAAATGTACACAAGATTTTTTCTCCGGCCGCTGTAAAATCAAAAGCTGGGGGGGGGGGGGGGATCCGCGCCTGTTTTCCCCAGATATCAACAAGTAGTCTCGCCAAACGTCATTATTGATGAGCTTCAAATTCACAAAGTTACCCGTACTTACTGGCACATTTACCCTAACAAAAATAAATGGAAAATCATGGGGAAAATGAAAATGTCTTAGTATTTAGGGGGAAAAAAAACACGGGGGGGGGGGGGGGGAGGGAATGAGGTGTCCGTAGATTGGGCTAAAAATTAGGCGAAGGGTTACCTAACGTGTGAGACTTGAACAAGTACAAGGAAATCCCCTTGCAACAACTCCTGCTGGAGAATTAAGTGCCTGTTCCCGGGGCATTTCCTACCGTCAAACCCGGGGATTAGACCCGGTCGTAGTGGCGGAAATATCATGCTTGGAGTATTGGTTGGAGGGTGATTTCCCGTAGAACGACTTGAGCTAAGTTTCTTTTACTTTACTAGTTTTGGCGGAGTCCGCCATTTTTGTATAAGCACAGCGAGTATGGTTCAATTATACGTGTTGACGCTACGTGTCGCTGAAAAATACTAGGAGTCTTCTTTGTGTTACAGGGCTATTTAAGGGACATGTGGTGGGCACGGAGACTGTGGCTTGGGTGCTATTCTTTTCAGGGAGGTTTGTGCGCATGCGCACTGACATGCAAATGTAGGTAAACAGAGGTGAAGTGTTTTCTGAAATGGAATAAACAGTTTATACACTAGAGCTGTTGTCAATGTAATATTTGACCAAAATATCTGGTGTAGACATCCCTGTTGTGGTATTGTCATGTACAATTTTCGAGATATATGATAAAAAAAATTAGGTTTTTGATAAAAGTGTCGTGAATTGAGATAATAAATGATAAACTACACATCTCCAGACACTACAATGGTAGTCATCGTATAGATTAACCATGCATGAAAACATAGCTGTATAGACCACATTTGCGCTTACCAGGTATAGTTTTTGAGATATTGCCAAAAAAGGGATTTCCGGTAATGGCGGTGCTTTATTACGTCATTTCGGAGCTTAGGCCACGCCCTAGACCCAGCAGCAATGCATTTTTGTGATGTTCTCATGACACACTTTCACCCTATGAGGTCGACTGTTCCGGCACTTTTCGCATGAATGAATGTTCTGGGCTCCTAGTCTATACCTATCAGGTCAAATGGAGAAAAAAATGCAAAGTATCTCACTGACAATCTCTGATGAACAAAAATCAAATTGGAGCAACCATCGCATTGTATACCATTCTGAACACGATACCACACACAGAGGCCCCCTTCAATAGGGGAAAGCATTGTGCCAGCTATTATTCAATTCATCCGTTGTGGGGACAGGGCAATAGGTGCAATTGTTTCTTTATACATGTTAGTAAGGTCATTTACCTTCATGCACATGTGTGAACATATCATGTGATTGACATATATCACATGATTTCAAAGATTTATGAAAAAAAAATTATAAATTATAATGAGTAATTTACTTGAGTAGTGATAAACATGAGTCATTACAATTCTTAAAGGGAATGTACATCATTGGCTTTTGCTTTAATTTCCAGAAATGAACTATTTGAGGGATAAGTATAATAAATCAAATTATTGTTGCATTGACATGTTTGAAGTTTTGTGTTCGAAAATGCTGGAAAAGCCAAGAAAAACAAATATGTTCAAGTGGTCTGGTTCCCTGACTCCACTGAAAAGTAGGGATCAATTTATAGATGCCGGAAAATTGTACGGTAAGGGAACCAGTCTAGCTGGCCTGCCCCCATTCATGAACATGCAACCAATAGCAAACAAAATTTGGACTGAAAAAATGGTAAATTTGGAGCAGCAGTTGAAAAATAGTCAGGTTTTTCCAACGGTGGTCGGCCGACCACCGTTGGAAATGTAAACAAAAATACCATTTACTTGAAAATGACTTCACACCAGGTGCCATAATTTTACAGGATGCTTTAGACTGTCATTTACCAACATCCTGTAAGAGCTTTCGTAAAAACTTGGTAGGTTTATTTTTTGATGCTTGCAAATGTTGTGTTCTCCCTTTAAGCTGCAATTCAACAAAGCCGAACAGTCTTGCAGGTCCACTTTACCAAGTTATTTTTTTTCTGCATACAGTCATTTTTTTACCTTTATCCATATTAGTATTGAATTTGTTTTCGGTCCCCATTTAGTGCAGTAAAATATTCACTGAGAGATTTTGCCTAGGATTGAAATTGACAATTCTTCATTTTTTTATTTAGCGTCCCAAAGATCACAATATTGATAACAGCAAGTGCATGAGGTTGATGCAACAAACAAATAGCCAGACTCTTGTAAACACTCTTCAATTGAACACAACTGTGATGAAGTCAACATGCACATTTTGATCACACAATTGGACCAACTGGTTGATGAAATGCCGAACTGTAGTTGGCGGTACGTTAAAAAAAAAGTAATACAAATATTGAGTGGATCAGCGTGGAATGGGAGGTATATTATCGCAACGTAAAATCTGGACTTTTCCATTTCAAGAGGCGAAATACACATGGATCCTTGTCATTTGATACATTTGAACTTTTATTTCAATACAAAATTGGTGAAAATGTATTTCTCTCTTCCAAACCACAAGTTCACGAAAATGTTTGAACCCAACGCTGTAGCGCTGGCTCTTTGGAACAATACGCGCTACGCGCTACGCGCAACGCTGAGGAATCTTAAATCTTAAAGGTAATACAACATTTGCTTTTGTTGTGATTTTCAGAAATGGATGGATTTAGGGGGTTAGTATTTTATAGCAAATATTGTTACACTGACTTGTTTGAAGTTTTGTGTTCATATAGACGCTGGAAAAAAACCAAGCACACAATCATGTTCTGGTAGTCTGGTTCCCTGACCCCACTTAAGATGCAACGGAGCAATTTATAGACGTCAGGGAATTGCAAGGTCAGGGAAGCAGTCTAGCTGGCTTGCGCCCGTTCATGGGTGTGTAATCGATCGCAAACAAAATGCGGACTAACTAAATATGGTAAATTGGGGGCAGTATTGGAAAAAAAATTTTTTGTTCCAACGCTGGTGGGCTGACCAGCATTGGAAATTGATACAAAATACCACTTTTCTTGAAAATGTCAACACACCAGGTGCCATGATGTTACAGGCTGCTTTAGACTGTCATTCACTAACAGTCCAGTAAGGTATTTTATAATAATTTCGTTGTCTTATTTTTTAATGTTTGCACATGATATACTCCCTTTAAACAGTTATTCATATTAACAAAATGTTTCATGTGATTTCTTGTACACCATATGTTAAGTAAATGAAACATACCTAGCTATTTTAATGGCCATAAGAAAAGGTGTTTTGCTTCGTCATTCAATCATATGTACCAAGGCTACTAATGTCATGAAAAAAAAAACCAATGAAAGTGGTTCATTCTGATACCTACCTATCACGTCTTCGGCAGTGTTTGTTCTCTTGATCTCCATCAGAGCTGTGAAAAACACTTCCCTCTGATCCACGCTAGTGGACTGTTTGTGCCTCCATTTGACCAGCATATTGAAGATGTGTTTCTGTGTCTGGCCTGGGTCATCCATCACGATGCGGTCGATCTCTGCAGCGCTTAAACCGAGATGTGTAGCCAGCTTCCGCCATTCAGAGCCAAGCATACCAGAGATCTTGTGTAGAATAAGGTCACTGAAACCTGCAAACAGACACGAATCAATTAATGGGGTAACAATAATTATTACAAGAAGATCTCTACTATGTTTCGATTAAACTTCAAATGTGAAAGCATTGATGTTACTGTTTCAGATTCTTATATAGATACCAGGCCAATTGCTTGGTACAATAACTAGCGCAGCATATTCGACATTAAATGGGACTCACTGTGTATAATATAGCGTGCTCGAAATGGCCTTTACCTTACTTGTATGTTGCAATGGTTCTTTTGATTTGAATGTTTATTTATCAGAGAAAATGTCATTGTCTCATTGAGTAACATACCTTGTATTGGTTTTCGTGATAATATGCCTGGATTTGAAGCTTAACATGGAAATGTTTGCCACCTTCTGTCTCATAATAGTTTTGACCGTGTGTGTGGCCGCACACGTGGGTCGAGGTTGACTGCACACGCTTTAAGGTGATACCATTGTCCACAATAGATATTTTAAACTGTGTATTTACATTTTTGATCCAACAATTCTTGTTAGTTTATGTTCTAAAGTAGATAACAGAAACAATAATTGACACACAACACAACGTCCAATGCAATAAATAATCTGAAATAAAATAACCATCACTAGTTGTTTTGAAAACACAAGTGGACCGATTTTGTTTTTTAAAGGGAAGTCCGACACTCCCCAAGGATAATTCCGTTAACAACGGCTGCATGCGCACTGTGGTCATTGACTAAACGTGGTTGCAGAAAAAGTAGTTCCAAGCAGGGCAGTTGCTTTGTGAAATAACTGGTAAAATTGTTTCGCCATTGAAGGGGATCATGCTCAGAATGGTATATATTTGATTTTATTCATCAAAGATTGTCAGTGAGTGAGATATACCTGGATGCTGTGAGCTAGATGAGGTTTCAATATTTTGTCTGAGCATTGACAAATACAAAACATTAGATCTGAGCGAGAATGGAAATACATGTATGGAAAAAACCAAAACCCACCCGCTTTTTAATCCCCAGTAAAATCTAGGGCATATTTAAGGATGCATTCAGACTTGATCCCTTACCTTTCTCAACACTTCCCCAAAAATAGGAATGCAAGCAGAAAAAAAAAACCAAACATGAAAAGACATAAATTATGAAACTCAAATCGAAAGTAAAACTTCAGTATGTTCCTCAACAAATGAGTTTATAACAGGCATTTGTCTTTGATATAGTAATGCAAATTAGTTTTAATGCGATTACTTGTTTGCCCCTTTCAAACTTTCTTAGGACCAAAATTTAGTTTACAATACAAAACTCATGCACCTTAAATAGTTAATTCATGTAAACAAATTGTTTCATGTGATTTCTTGAATACCATTTGTAAAGTAAATTAAACGTACATGTAGCTATTTTAACGGCCAGAAATAAAGGTGTTTTGCTTTGTCATTCAATCATATGTACCAAGGCTACTAATGTCTAATGATACCTACCTATCAGCTCTTCAACAATGTCCGTTCTACCGAGCTTCATCAGCACTTTGTATAACACCTCCCCCTGTTTGCCCCTCCATTTGACCAGCATGTTGAAGATCTGGTTCTCCGTCTGGCCTGGGTCATCCATCATGATGTGCTCGATCTCTGCAGCGCTTAAACCAAGATGTTTAGCCAGCTTCTGCCATTCAGAGCCAAACATGGCAGAGATCTTGTACAGATCAAGGTCACTGATACCTGCAAACAGACACGTATCAATTAATAGGGTAAAGGAAGCTTCTGCGAAAAAAACCTAATAAAGTTTCCTTCTGATCCTACTGATTGTGCCTCAGATCAGAATACAGGAACAACTTTTTTTGCCTGGGATTGGAGCTAATTGTCCAACCATATGCAATGTTTTCCAAACAGAACCGATTGTTGCTCAACAATTTCATGGGATCGCCCTCCCTTGTTTTCAAGAAATATATATTCATATAATACCCTTTCCTCTGTCTCATCGCTAGCTTTAACGTTATATTTTGGGACTATTTAACCATTCACCCATTTGTGATTATCTATACCTCCTGTTGTTATTAACGATGTCTTCATCACTTTCTCTTCATAGCTGTCTTCAGCGTATTCGGTTGGATCACTACTGTAAGCCGTTGTTGCTGTGCTGCTTTCTCCAAGTTGGTTATGCTGTACCTCTTCCATGCTGCTCGAGTCCTCTTCATCTGTTAGAAAAAGTAATTCAGACAATGAAAGAGTTATTTTTAAACATAATTTAGAAAAGGAGTCAGATTGTAGTTTTAATGTTACAGCATTAGGCTACCTTTCTGCTGGTCCTTTTCCAATTCGTCAAAGAATCTGCAGGCCCGATCGTAGTCTCTTTCTGGTATAGTTGCCTGGATAGCCAAGTCACTCTTATCTTCAGTTGTCAGTTCATCTGTGATGAGAATCTCTGTCAGTTTCTTGGCGAGTTCTCCAGTGGTGTACATACTCCAGAGTTTGTTCAGGCCCTCCCGACTCTTGAAGCGAACAACAAATGTCACAGACCCAGATGTTACTTCCTCAAGCTCCCCGTCACAAGATTGTATGAAAGCTGAGAACTGCTTCAGGATATAACCCACTCCCTCTGTGTCACGTAAGGTAGTCATGGCTGTCCAGAGAATTTTAGTCATGCCACTGTCCTCGCTACCCTGCCTTGTTACTCCTGTTTCTATTGACATTTTTGGAAACCCTGGGGGGGGGGATATAAGGTGACACTTCTTCATTATCACAAGTACCGGTAGTTTGATATAACAAAGGCTATGGACTCTTCGTGTTCCTAGCAACCCTACATTCCGTATAGGAAAAACACGGCCTTCTGTATACACATATGCTAGTTAATACTCTTTATAATAAGTAAGATTTGAGGCTTTGCATGGTGGAGATACTAAATAATGAAAGGTTGCGGAAACCCCATGTGCGAATAATTTCTCAACTAAGAGAATGGTTCTGAAAAGAACCAGAGGTATAAACTCGACGTTCTGGTCAGTATGCTCTGACCGTCTTGGTCAGAAGACGGTCAGAGCATATTGACCGGAACGTCGAGTTTATACCTCTGGTTCTTTTCAGAACCATTCTCTTAGTTCAGAAATTATTCGCACATGGTGTTTCCGCAAACCTTTCATTATTTAGTCTTTATAATGTCAGTTGGCGTATACCATGGGACCGCTTCAAATCTGTTTCTCTTTTGCATTATGCATATTTAAACCGAATTTGTATAAATTATGGATGAGGCCGCACCAATTTTGCCATTTTAATTGCTCGGACACATTTTTCGACATATTGTTTTTGGCTGTAGAGGGAAAAAAGATAAGAAATCAGAGTGCAGTTTATGAAAACTTGAAATGAATTCACGATTCTTTCCGACTGGGCCAACTTAAATATATGATGTCGGCCCACTTGGCGATGAATATGCATGTTCAGTTTGAGGTGTCTAAACTGCATTCTGATTTTTCATCAACCTCAGTTTAAGCGTAGCTTGTAATCTATATACTGAGGGTTCAGAATGTGGTTTTGACCTGAGCAAGAAACACCAACAGACCTCAAAATCAAATCAAGCAGCCAGTTGAAGTGCTTTCACATAAACAAAAATCTGTTCTTTATACATATTTATCTGACGCACATTTTTCTTTTCAATTTCATCTATCGCTAGTACTTATAGTTCCATATATTTTACTCTTTTCACTGTCATTGTTTGACAATCTGGACATCTGATCGTTTTATTACATTAGGGTGATACACGTTTTTACGCATATCTCGCTATTGAGTGATTGGCTGGCTACTGAGTATGTGGCTTTTCGGTTGACTGTATGATTGAAGCGAGAAAGAACAAAAGACTAGGAAGGAAGCAAGTGAGAGAGAAATGACACATTGATATTTGGAACATGTCTTACCTGAACTTTCTAATGTAATGTTAAAGTTAAAAGTCGAATGATTATCATCTCCCACGATGACAGGACAATTTTCGCCCTTGACAGAAACTACAGGTCCATGACCTGGTTTTTGGTGTGTTGACCCTTTCAGTCCATACTCCTCGGATGATTGCAAAGTCTCTTTCTGAATGTCCTGATGTGTTCCTCCTGCCTCTTGCTGATTTTGTCTCTGTCCCTCAGATGATGAGGTGCTTTTCAGCTTGCTTTGTTCTTTAGCCCCTCTTTCTTGAACTTCTTGGTGAGATTTGTCTCGATGACCAACATCTCCCTGTCCCTGTCTTTCAGATGATGTAGTTCTTCTCTGCCTGTTCTGTTCTTTAGCTCCTCCCATTTGAGCCTCTGGTTAAGGATTAATAACACAATTTTTCATGTGATTTTTGGTATTCCGTAGATAAAGTAAATTCAACACAACTCGCTTTTTTAACGGCAAGAAAAAAGGGTGTTTTGCCTCCTCATTCAATCATATGTTTCAAGGCTACTAATGTCATGAAAATAACGATTGATGTGGTTCATTCTGATACCTACCTATCATGTCTTTAACAATGTCCGTTCTGCCGATCTCCATCAGAGCTGTGCATAACGCGTCCCTCTGATCCGTGCTAGTGGATTGTTGGCGCATCCATTTGACCAGCATGTTGAAGATCTGGTTCTCTGTCTGGCCTGGGTCATCCATCACGATGCGGTCGATTGTTGCTGCACGTAAACTGAGATATGTAGCCAGCTTCCGCCATTCGGAGCCCAGCTTGTTAGAGATCATGCGTAGATCAAAATCACTGATACCTGCAAACAGACACAAATTATTTAATACAGTAAAGAACGTTTCTGAACAAAACTTGTATATTTCTTGTATATTATGACCGTTAAGATCGGGCTAAACATGAAAATTATACAATCTTGCATATATCTTATGCTATCCAAACCATTAACTCTAGTCACTGAGGAAGCAAAAAGATTTCAACCTTACTAGAAACACCTTTGTTATAAGTACAGCATCTAATTATAGAATATTGAGACACATCTGACACTCAGCAATAGGTGGGCACAAGGTCAGGTGTGGGGTCAAGACTATTTTTAAAACATGAATTGTTCTGGTCAAAATTATTCAAAATTGATGTGTTTCCCCTTCAAATGTTCTTAGGACCGAAAGTTGGTTAATAATAAAGGAGTGGTGAGCCTTAAACAGACAGTATGTGTAGTTCATGTTATTAAAAGTGTTTCATTATAAAAGGGCCCATGTAATGTAATTATTTTGAAGCCATCCTTGAAAAGGGGCCTTTGTGTCCCATTATGCTATTAAAATTTGCATATTAATGAGCAAAAGTGTAATGTCATTGCATTGAGGCAAAAACCTCAATGTTACAGCTATTTCAGCACCATGATTTGCCAGAATTGGGGATATTTTGCTGTTGTCAATTTTGTTTTCCCTGGTGATTCGTTGATGTTTCAGTACATGGCAGGAGGCCAATGAACAAAGTTTTCATACAAATGTTTTTAATGACCAAGTAATGGGTTCACATTTTGAACGAAAACCTATCAATTTAACAGTGTCTTCCTGAAATGACATCACAGCAACAACGCCCTAAGTTGTCCTGAAAAGCATGGAACATTATATGTTTAAAGAAGTGCACTTTTCACCAAATGTTACCAAAAGGGATGTTAAACAGTTTTCATACAAAAATAGAGGAATAGCACAGTGCACAAATTGTGTTCCCAAGTACAATTCATGTCATTGCGCCTTTAATTTAAGGTACACCATAGGTAAAGTAATACAGTTTATCCACAGATCCTTATAAAAAAGCACACCTTACTATTTTGATGGCCATAAAAAAAAAACAATGTTTTGCCTCGTCATATGTACCATGTCATGACAAAAAAATTGATGTGGTTAGTTCCAGTGATGTAGTGCCTTGATGCTAGGCCTTGGCCTTAAGGCTGCCTTAAGGCTGGATTTTAGGGCCTTGGCCTTGGCCTCGAGGCTTGAGGGCAAAAGCCTTGGCCTTGGCCTTGGCCTTGAGGGTTCAGGGCCTTGCAATTTTGAGTCAAGGCTCTTCAAGGCCCATAGATTTTTGCATTTTCCAGATAAATCTGTTCGAAATTTTGCTGTTACCATTTTAATCGTATTACCATGGAGGAGGGAAGCACCCTATAGATTTGTGTGTTGGGCACACTTCCACTTTTGTAGCATCACATTTTGTTACCATTGTAGTAGATTTGCTGCATAAATATTCCGTACACTTGTGGGGCTAATGAGATGATCACTTTAATTGCATATAACTACAGAATAGATCTGATGTCTCCCTGATACATGTAAGTGCTAAAGATTTGCATGTATCTGTTTTAGATAATGCTGATATTTCTGACCATGTTGGGCCAGCAAATAAAAATTTCCCAAATCAGTTTCTTGGATCCCCCTTTTGTTACACTTGGGAGAATTGTGTGTCAATATAGAAGTAAATCATTATTTTGTTTAGTTAAACCATATTGAAGACCTGAACTTATACTTTAATAGATACAGGGCAGTCATAAAACGGTGTAGGCCTATGTGAGCATGTTGATTGCAATTAAAGAAATGTTGTTCTTCGTAACGAGCAATTCGTGATGATAAGGGCGGATCCAGGGGGCCCAAAAGGGGCCATCCCCCCCCCCCAAAAAATACGAAACCATTTTTTTTTAATGTGACGTCGTAATAAAGGCAGGCAATGAGTACACCACCATCTTTTCCTCAAAAAACATCGGTTAAAATGGTCAGAAATTGCCTCAAATCGCACCACAGAGCATCTCAAATCCAAATTTTTTCGGGGCCCTTAAGCGGGCCCCGAAGCCCAAGCCGTAATTTTTTGACCCACTTTTTTGTGGGGGACCAAAATTTCTTTGCCCCCCCCCCCCCAAAATGTGTTCTGGATCCGCCCTTGCGTGATGATGTGTCACTCATGTGACTTTAATTAGTTCTATATCAGAGGTCATTTCATATAACAGGGCCTTGGCCTTGAGGGTTAAGCCTTGGCCTCGAGGCTTGAGGGTCAAAGCCTTGGCCTTGGCCTTGGCCTTGAGGGTCAAAGCCTTGGCCTTGGCCTTGAGGGTCAAAGCCTTTGCTCCAACACTGGTTAGTTCTGATACCTACCTACAAAGTCTTCGGCAATGTTCGTTCTACCAATCTTCACCAGAGCTGTGCATAACACTTCCCTCTTTTTGCGCCTCCATTCGACCAGCATGTTTAAGATCTGGTTCTCTGTCTGGCCTGGGTCATCCATCATGATGTTGTCGATCTCTGCAGCACTTAAACCGAGATGTGTAGCCAGCTTCTGCCATTCGGAGCCAAGCCTCTCAGAGATCTTGCGTAGAACAGGGTCACTGAAATCTGCTAACAGACACGAATCAATTTATACCGTAGAAACAATTATTACCAGGAGATCTCTTTTGTGTTTAGACTGTGTGTTTACATTTTCAATCTAAAGTGCTAATCCTTGCCGTTTGTCTGACCTTCATTCACACAACAGAAATAATTGATACACAATACAAAGTTCCATGATATAAATAATCTGAAATAAGATAACGAAACTTTTTGCAAAATGTTCAGTTTCGAAAACTTGAGTAGAGTGATTTTTTTCAAAGGGAAATCCGAGATTCCCCGATCCCCCGAGGATCGTTCCATTCCCAACTGACGCATGCACACTCTGATCACTGACTAAAACTGGTTGCAGAAAAAAGAAGTTCCATGCAGGGCGGTTGCTATGTGAAATAGCTTGTAAAATTTTTTTGCCATTGAAGGGGCTCTCTGTGCGTGGTATTACATGTATGCTCAGAATGCAATGCGGTGGTTGCTCCGATATGATTTTTATTTATCAGAGATTGTCAATGAGTGAGATACTTTGCATTTGTTCTCCACCTGGGAGTAATTTGGTTTGTGTGATGAGACAGCTGGATGCTGTGAGGTCAGGGAGTTGAGGTTTGAAGAGTTTGTCTGAGCTTTACATCACATAAAACATTAGATCTGAGCGAGAATGGAAACATGAATAAAGATTACTGATCATGAAAAAAACCCAACTTTTTGCCAAAAAAAAAAAGATCAGGCTAAACAGGAGATCTTTAAAGTCAGGCTAAACATGAAAATTATACAATCTTGCATATATCTCATGCCATCCCAACCAGTAACTCTATCACAGTGGAAACAAAAATATTTCAACCTTACAAGAAACACGTTTGTAATGAGTATGGCGACCAACTACAAAAGATATATTGAGAAACATATGATACTCGGCAATAGGGACAGTCACTAGAATGAAAAAGGTTATTAAGTGCACAGGTGTTCTTGTTCTACATTACCCCCGAGGACAGACACACAAAGGGAGAAAAAAGGATTCTTTCAGTCCTTGGAAGTTGGGTCTTTTGTTCAAAAAGGTCCTCTGTAGTAGGTTCGTGTGCTTAGTCTATGGAAGAGTGTTATATTAAAGGGACAAAGGGAAACACAAAGCATTGTCCTTGGGAGTATAGTAATTCAAGAGTGTAATGCACAAGGTTATGTGTCAGGTGATGACAATTTTGGGGGCTAAAAAACTATGAACCCTTCAGGTCAAAATTATTGCTGCGATTGTGCTCTTTTCAAATCTGTAAAAAAAAAAAAAAAAATGACCAGGGTTGACAAACGACTCGTTTAGCTTGATGGCATCACAAACGTGATTTATTAATTTCAGGTATACCATAGATACACAGAGCTCCCAACATTCAGATTTCAGAAATAGTACTTTCATCGCGCCGGTATTGTTCGGCGCGTCACCATTTAAACAAAAAGGCAGTCAAATCCCGTCACAACAGTACGATACTACTAAGTAATTCCCACAGAGTGTAACCCATTCCATTCTATTCTTGTTTAATGCTGACAATGAATTTTGTTTTTGTTTGTCCACATTGATACTGTTTGGCAATATTTTGCTATTGGGGAACATCTGGGAAAAAATGTTGCAACCTGACGCCAATTTTTTCTTCATAATCTCAATGAAGGTCATTCATTGCAAAAAATGATGATAAGACATGAATCTGGGACTGAGAAACATTTCAAATTTTGTTAGAAAATTCCTAGAAAATGTTCTTGACTCTCCATAGACTTTGTACACAACTGCGTAAGTAGCGTCAGGTTTTAATATTTTTTCCAATGTTACCTCGGCGTTTTATATCAACGTGTCCAAGCTGAAGCTGGTATGGTGAGTTTCGGTGTGTTTTTAACATTTTCTGCTGACTGATCATGTTTACCCATTGCGATGTGCTTCTGGCGATCATTTCGACTGGCGTGACTCACACAAAAATCCGCGTTCCACAGCGTACAAATACCAAAATAATCTGAACATATGCTTCAAAAATATCTGCCGTGGCTTTGGCTGTATTTTAGATTGTTTGGTAGACATATTTCCAACATACACTACCACTGACTAAACAGGAAAACAACTCGATGAAACGAAGCATTCCACGGTACGTAACGTTAAACCAAGATGGCCGGCGTGTACATCCCGACCGCGGGACAACTAGACCCGTGGGACAACTCGACCGGCGCCTCGCCACCATCGTACCCCCGCAAACCAAGCCGCGATGTGTACATGCACGGCGCCCATCATGCATGCCGCACCGTCCAAGCAAGTCGAGTTGTTTCACGAAAAGCATGCCTGTGCAGAAAAACATGCCTGCGCAGATTGTCACTGTCATAGACTGGCTACCCGTCCTTCGGACATTATAAGCGAACTCCTTACGTGAATATAAGGCGGGAATGGCACTTTTTTTCAATGAATATTTTTTGTTAAAACAACATCGTAAAAAATTGTAAATTTGAAGAATGAAACCGTAAAAGCCTAAAATGGGTGGAAAATAGTAAAAGGACGCCAAAATCATACATGTTGGGAGCTCTGGGTACATGCAGCGCAATACAGTTAATTCTCCCTGGGTTCCTTCAATAAGGACGTACACATGCATGTAGCTATTTTGATGGCCATAAAAAATGGTGTTTTGCCATGTCATGCAATCATACGGTATGTACCAAGGCTACTAATGTCATAAAAATAACGATTTGATGTGGTTCATTTTAATACCTACCTATCATGTCTTCGGCTATGTCCATTTTGCCCATCTCCATCAGAGCTGTGCATAACACTTCCCTCTGTTTGCGCCTCCATTTGACCAGCATGTTGAAGATCTGGTTCTCTGTCTGGCCTGGGTCATCCATCATGATGTGCTCGATCTCTGCAGCGCTTAAACCGAGATGTGTAGCCAGCTTCTGCCATTCAGAGCCAAGCCTCTCAGAGATCTTGCGTAGAACGGGCTCAGTGATATCTGCAAACAGACATGAATCAATTTTTACGGTAAACAACATTTCATGTTTCTTACTTCGTTCAACAGCTTGTTTATGAGTAAAAATGCTTACGCTTATGTTCAGCACGGCAACTTTGGACACTTATGCAGTTCTCTTTCTGATTCTATTGATTCTCTTTGTCTCAGATCAAAATGAGAAGAACGCTGACTCACTGTGATAAGTTGGTGCACATGCAGTGTTTTTCTTTTGTAGACATTATGAAAAATGTAATACATAGTTTGTCTCCAATTCGTCCACTCATAAAAAGTTGTATCTGGCAAAGCGGAATATTAAAAAGTACTTTCTTAGGCTTTATAATTTACCTGGAACTTGGGGGTGGTCATCATCCAAGTTTGTTTCTGAAAAGAAAATAATATCAAATGTATAGATCTGCATTTGCCTTTACAGTAGAAATAACACTGTACTGTGAAAAGACACATACAAATCAGAAGAACGCAAACTATGGCTAAATAGGTCAGCTAATAGAGCACTGGAACGGTGATTCAGATCTCACTCTAGTAAAATTACTTAACTAATCTGATTTTCTTTTCTTTTCTGGTAACCAGTGCGATTGCCTACTACGCATGTGCATTTAACCTGTCTGTGAAACCTCGCGTACATGCACTTGGTAAACAGCAAAATTAGCGGCTGACATGTAATGGTGAATGGACCAGTGAGAACTCGGCTCTCGATCATGAATAAGTATGAGGTATAGTACTATGCGTAATGACAAATAACACTGTACCATGTGTACTGTGAAAAAAAAAGCATTTACAAATGAAGGCACCTCAAACACAGAACTGAGCACTGATGGAATGGTGATTCAGAGGTTGTCTGTTCAAATCTAGTTAATGTCTTTACTAATGTGTTTTATTAAATAATCAAAGAGAAAGAGATATAACTTGTCTCATCAGTGTTGGCGGGCAGCAAGCGGCCAACAAAAAAATTAAAGTACTAATTCCGATTCGGATCGATTCTTCTGTCTCATGTCAAAAAATTAATTAGAAATCTGCTAGTCTGCTTAAAAAAAATCAAAAACAAAAAGATACCACTTTTCTTGTCAGTGAAATTCGTGTACCCCATCAACGGCCAGAAAAGGAGAGTTGGGGTGACCTAGACTGGTTCCCGATCTATCCACTGCGTATTTCGAATGCTCACGCGAAGGCGCAGTGGCTATAGCTTTTGCACATTCAGGAAGTCGTGCGTACTTTGCGCGCGAACCAGTACAGTACAGTACGCGCACGCTGTGTGTCCCGTCCACGGAGCTCTCAAAAGAGGTAAAAACACACCCTCTGAGATCTGAAATCGTTTTATTCTTAATATCAAAATCGCGCATTTTTCTTTATCCATTGATATATGTTTTTGCTTCAAAATACAAATATCCTCTTACCTTCACAGTGACTACGGCGTTTCCCAATGTATTGATCTGCAATAACACCACCAATAAATTGTCATTATTTTGAAGGATCTCATATTTCAGGGAAACAATTATGGTTAAGGACACAACCACTGTCGTAGTCTTGGTTCCCAAGACATCCTTAGCTGTTAGCGGTGTGATAATGCGCGCATGAGCTATTGGACTGTGCAGCGATTCACCAAAGTGGACACTACACATTTATTACAAGCATGCACACATACCAACAAGCAGCACAAAGGACGTTATTTGACTTCTTTGTGAGCGGTTCGCTTTGCAAGTCAGGTTTTTGAAGCATGGTGGGTGCCTCAGAAAGCATGGCGGGGCACCAAGGTATTTTTACAGGTTGGAGAACACTGGATATATGTAAATGTACAGAAGACGAGAGAACTAAATCGCATAATCATGAGCTCTCTTCCTGTAATTTCATGAGTCCATATCATGTTTTGTAATAGCTCATGTGGATATTGATTACATGCATCTGGTTTCAAGGCAAATCGGTTGGAAGATTTCCATTTCTTCTCTAACCCTATATGATGACAGACGTGCCATGAATTCACTTCAGAAGGGGGTGGAGTACAAAACAAGTAAACAAAATGGAAAGCCAATAACGTTCAATCCTGAGATTATACCAGTATTCACATCACTTACATATTGCAAAACAAAATGCCAACAGAGCCACCAGAAAGCCACCAATCCCTCCAACTATTCCTCCAACTTTTCCAGCGATCTTGTAAGTAACATCCAAGTCATGTCCACCACTTCCAGTTGCAGACGGCGTATTTGTAGTCATGATGATGCTACCAAACCCTGCCATTGCTGTTCTTGTCAACAACCTTTTAAAAAGAAAGTTACGAGCACGAATTGTAAGTGAGCTGCATGCTGGAGGTGTTTGTTATAAAGACACTACAATCTTACGAATGGATTTTTTTTAATCCGAGGGCTGATCCAAGGAAGTGATTGGTGTCACTCACCACCCTGAAAGTCAAATACAAATTATTTACAAAATGGAAAACAAATCTTAATTTTTATTTTACCTTCTTTGAATAAATGTCAATCACTCAATATTGCAAATCTTGAATTCACTGTTTCAGAGAGTCCTTGATCTTCAAATGAGTAGACTACAACGCCCCATCCTCTCCTCTGGAAAATCAACTACATGTACATGTACTGAAGTCACATCCTTTGCATACTTATTGCAACTTTTATTTGGTGATCGGGCTATTAATGTCAGATTTTGGTGATTGGGACAATAATCAAATTTCACCGCAACTTTTCTTCACAGTGGTTAATAGTTTGAAACTGAAGATCAGTCTTGATACAGAGGGGTAAATATTTTAGTGACATCATTGTGACATCATCAAGAAAAACATCATGATTCTCATATAAACTCGATGATACAACCGTTGATTTTCACTCCAGTTTGAGGAATTTGCAGAGACAGGCCAATTCCTCAAACTGGAGTGCAAATCAATGGTTGTATCATCGAGCAAGTGGACAAATACCTTTATCTTGGCCATACAATCACACAGGATGGGCGTTGTGAAACAGAGACTTGAAAAAGAATTGGCATAGCCAAAACAAATTTTCTGAATATATGTACTCACAGCTAGAAAGTTAAACCTCAAATTAAGGCTACATCTGTTGCTACATCATCTCAACACTGGTGTATGCGGCAGAAACCTGGACTTTACAAGAAGACTCCATAAAGAGGCTGGAAGCGCTAGAAATGTGGTTTTACCATGCCGGGAAAATGCTGAAAATCTCCTATCACAATCACAAATGCAGAGGTTTTGGAAAGAGTAAACAGGAAAAAAAAACACTAATACATGACATAAAGGAGAGAAAGCTACAATATTTGGGGCACATAATCCGAGCTGATAGTCACCAGAGGCAGCTCAAAGAGGGAAAGGTGAAAGGAACGTGAAAGAGAGGATGCCCCAGACGCAAGTGTACAACAGACATCTTGGAGTGGAGAGGCAAGACGTATGAGGGATGTGTGAGAGCAGCGCAGAACAGACAAGGTTGTCTGATAGCCCACCTGCTGGCAAGCGGTAGGTACCATGACTGATTGAACTTATGGTTCCAGACCAGTAAATAAACTTCCATTGACCCCAATGATAAATGCTCCCACTTCAGAAATTCCGGAAAAATACTCACAACCAGTCTCCAAGGTGTTCGAGACACACATCAAATTAAAGCTTATTTCATCATCTATCATTTTCTTTTCAATTTAAGGGGGGGGGGGGGTTAACGGCTGACTTTTAGGAGAAATTTCCATCTGAAGATGATCACCCCTTAAAATAGTCCTGAAGCCCATTGCCATTTTGAAAAACGTTGCCTACAATCCATTGAAAAATAGAGCACTTTTAGGGCCCAAATTTCATCCAAATTGAATGGAACTACAAGCTCACAGTCCTGTGCACGGCTTCCACCCGTATTTTTTTACAAAGCCTCCAGTTCATGGCCCAGAGTATGCTCAAATACTGAAGATTTTGAGGGCATGCAAATCGTGATTTGGCCGGCGTAGGCAATTTCGGACCGATTTACTGGCCTGCAACCTTATGAGCCAAATGAACAATCCGGTGTTCGTATACTTTATCTGATAGGCCTTACACCTTAACATTGACAAATGTATTTTGATTTCCTAAGGCAAAGTTCATACAGTGGTCGAATTAAAAAATATAAACAGTCCTCAGAATCAGAAGAAAAATTTATTTCTTCGAAACAGTTCTTTAAAATACTTTAAACTGTAATTTCTGGATTGAATTGAGTACCGTGATCATTTTTTTTTGTGGTGTGGATACTGTCTTTTGCAATCATATGGAGAACTAGGGAGCATTTGCTCACTTGCCACAAGTGCAGCTCTGTTTACGTGGGAAGACTGGCTCATGTCTAGGCGCTCTGAGCAAACTTTTGTTAATATGCAGAAAGTGTGTCGGTTAAACTTACTCCCTCGCATTGCATCACAAAATATAGATTTTCCTCTTTCACAGGAGTATAATTTCTTTATGATTAAAGGCGAATAATTATGTGCACTTTTCCATTGAAAAATGGGCAACTCAATAAAAAATTTGCGTTTCCTATGGAGGTCACGGCACATTTCCCCGATTTTTTAGGGCGAGGGTTAACGATTTACTTCTTCGAACGGCACACGTGTGAACCCGGTCGCGTACAATTACCTCGCATGGTTTCTGAAAGAGAACTCAATAAGCTTTCCTTTCATGTAACAACCGTTTTGATTGGTTGAGAAGAAAAAGGGGCACTTTTCTTGTCAAATCAGACATCGCTTTTGTTCTGAGAATCGACCTGCTGTTTATGTATAGTCCGGTCGATGCAGAGGGGCTGTGCAGGTCGCCGGGTCAATGCACTGTTGTGTGTGACCGCAGAGCATGCAGGGCTTTGATTTTCTGCACATATGGGTGGCAAAGTTCTCCATATGAGTTTTGATACCAAAGCACGAAGCCCCATGACCCTTACTTCAGGGTTGTAATGCAAAGAGAAGACGGCGTCCAACCTTGGCTAGCTTTAGTTGAAGACTGTAGGAAAAGCATTAAGTAACTTTCAATAAAAATTACCACTAGTGACCACAAGGTGACCTTTGACCCTCAACATTACCACACGAAGTAGAACTTTAGGTCAAGGAAGATCCTGTCCAAATGCGTTTGAAATACCGGTAGGCCAAAGACTTTGGAAGATAGATATAGCATTTAAAAGTCTCGTAAGGAGAAACAATGAAAAAATCATACAATTTCTGCGACGCCACAAAGTTCACTCCTCTAGAACCACGAAAGGTGTATACTACCGTACATGTATATGTACCAATCTACTCTGTAGCCGACAGTGCAGTGACGCTGATCACAAGTCTATCACTGTTTGGATATAATGATAGAATACTTGATGCATGAAAAAGTGATGTTAGGTTATAGGTTTTGGCAACTTCCTTTGTTGTAGTGCAGCATTTCTAAAAACATCCAGAACAGCAGTGGGTGGAAGGAGGGGCAGGCCCCGCCCATGTTTTCCCTCTCCTCATTTACCCCATGCTCCGTATCAGAGTCTCAATGTCCATACTCATGATTTGCTGATGGTACATTTATCATAAGAACCTGCCTTGAAGGGACCCTCATCGTGCCAATACATGTATGAACTTTGGACAGCCACACCCACCTCCCAAACCCCGAGCATCGAAAGATTCAACCCCACTTCTATCTTTTGACTTCTATCTTCTATCTTTTGAGGACACAAATACCGCCAAATGCACGTAGTGATTTGAAAATCTCCAATATTGTCATACCATCAATGAGTGCCTGCAGTAAGTGTAGCGATGAGATTCACATCACTGATGCAATGTAAGCAAACACCACTCAGCAATGACATTTGAACCGTCTGTAATTATCAACCTCTGTCTCGCTGCCGTTGTAGGTGGCCTGTATTCTGTCAACTATTTGAACTGATAATGATACTTAATTTGAACCAGCCAGACAAAAAGTAAACAAACAGAACACTTCAAACCACCCCTTTGACACTCTTCAAATACAGTAACAGGGGCGGATCCAGGAATTTTTGCGGGGGGGGGGGTGGTTCATCAGCAAAAAAATCTGAAAATGTACACAGGTTTTTTTTCTCCGGACACTTGGCCTCCATAAAAAAAAAACTGGGAGGGGGGGCCTGGTACCATATTTCAATAGGGGGCGCTGTTCAAATTCGATGATTTTTAACACTACATTACAGAATGGTCTACCGTATTTTGAACAGGCAAACATTATACCGTCATAATTTTTTGGGGGTGTCACAGCAGAGGGAGGGGGGAGGGGTTTGCATTAATTTTAGGAATTTGTATGATAATTTTATTTGGACAGAGCTGGGGTGTTTTTTTTTCATATTCTTGGTAGAGTGTCATTATATGTAATTTGTGTGTTATGTGTCGGATTTTTTTTTCAATAATAATAAATACACTACAGAAATAAACAAAGTACTTCAAGATTTTATCTTTGAACGAAATCGAAACAAATAGGTCAAACGCACTGTGCACATGTCGGACAATTGTTCTCCATAATGAGCATGAATAGGACGTTTATTCAAAAAGAAATTGTCGTGTGAACCATCCCTTCTGACGTAAGGAGCCTATACACACAAAATGACTTGGTTGTACAGGTGTGGCGATACACATGCTAAACACGCCAGGAAAAGATGTTACAACCTGACGCCACTTTTGGGCTTATGAACAAAGTCTATGGAAAGTCATTTCAAGTATTTCCTAACAAAATTGGAAACATTTCTCAGTCCCAGATTCATGTCTTATCATCATTTTTGCAACAAATGACCTTCATTGAGATGATATATATGAAGAAAAAAGTGGCGTCAGGTTGCAACATTCTTTCCAATACTTCTGTTGACGCAATGGTATAAGTCGAAGAATACGCTCTTAATTTACAAACTCACTCGGCGCTTCGCACCTCATGAATTCTTAAATTACGAATCCACACTTTCTCGTGTATTCTCTTAAACCTAAAACAATTACCATTGGTTGATCTTTCTTGAAGTTTATTTTTGCCAGATTTAAATTGTCTCTCTGAGCTTAACAACTAGCCTGTAAAATTAAACGTATTTGAGAACCAGGAAAATTAGGATGTCAGAATAGGGGGAATTTGTGTGGTGGTTAAAAGAAACCCATGTTTTACAAAATTTAACTATTTTTGAAAGTTAAATTGCAACATGGAGTCAGACAAAATCACACCGTTCCACTCAAAGAAATTGATGTTGTGTTAAACTATAGTTAGTCCATGTATGTTTCTTTTCCCCAAACTTTGGTAAGCTACATTGTAGGGGCATCGATTACTTTATTGCGGAAATGAACTAGTCTATCAATATAAATCGAAACCTGCAAAAGAGATCTTGATAAAGTGACACCAAATTCATTTGCTTTTTGAAAGAAGAACTGTAATTGTATTTCAAAAAAGATTGAAGTATAAAGTAGGGATCTTAGCAAAATAATTCAAAAAAAATGCAGGATTTAAAGGGTTACTCCATTTTTTCCCACTCAGAAAATTGCTTCAACTGACTTCTGACAATTTTTTCCATAAGATTTGCTGGTTGCCTCCACCCTAGAAATAAGGTTTTTTTGTGTGTAAACCTCCCCCCGCCACAAAAAAAGACTTTGATAGTAATATCCAAACAATGTATTATTGTATACTGCAATATTTGTCCATACTCCAAACCAGTCTTAAACACAGTGTTTAAAGCCGGCCAAGCACCTATTTATTCCCTATAATGCACACAAGGTTTACTTATGCCTTTGATACAAAACCATTGAATACTCGGCAGTAATGCATAGGGTTATATTCTTGCTGCCCATACAGATTCCTGCTTTGCTGTTGAGGGGGAACAAAAGGGTACCACCAAAGTCTCTCTGGTTATCTAGTACACGAGTAGGGGGCCTACGTGAATGTCTACTGTCACCCTGATGCCACACTGTGAAGAAGACGTTTCAAATACAAACTTGTTCAGAATCGTGTAACTAATGAACTACGATATTTTCATTTCTTCGATCAGAAATTCAACCGTGGTTTGTCACTTAGGGCCTACATGATTTTGAACTTGTACCATATGGAATGTCTTCCTCACAGTTTGCAATCAGGGTATTGATAGACATTCATGTACTTGCATAATTAAAGCAATTTACAACTCTTACCTTCTTCATGTTCTTGAGCAAAATGGAGGGCTATACACTCTCAAGTATGCAAAAACTCCCAGTACAAATCA